AATTAGAGTCTCTCATCGAAATTTTACTTTAGGACACCAACAATATTAAGCCGCCCCTGTGCCAAGGGCCCGAAAACATAATGCAATATTTACCCCTTGTCATAGAGGTTGATGCAAAGTCAATACTGGAGTTAGTGCAATAGTACGACTATGGTCATACCAAATTCCTTATTAGGTAATTTATCTTAGCATAATCTTCTAGATAAAGAAGGATATGCACACTAAAGATTGAAAGATCTTTTGTCTCATGGTAACCTACTTCAGTCTCCTTACTAATTTTTGGTTATTGGGTTAGCCCTACTCTTCCCATGCATATTTCAAGTGATAGCTTGTTTTTGTCTCAAACTTATTATATGGCTACAAAGACTAATACATGGGACATGCATATGAAGTTGGCTTCTTTTTTAGGGTGCAATTCAATTTGCATTGAAGTTGATTCTATGGTAGAAAGAGTGGAATTAAGGGTGGCATTGGGGATTAAAGGAATTATTAAGGACATATTCCTATTACTCGGGTATGAAGGTCAAACTGCTGGGACCTGTATATAGGGAGGATTTTTTTCCGGATGGTTAAAAAGAGTAATTTTACTAATTAGTATGTGTCATAACAAATTAAAATACAAGTTCATGGTGGGCACCATGCCCTTGTAGTCTACTACTATATATATGTCGATTGTCTAACAAAAGTAGTTCCTAGCTTGTCTGCTCTAACATGTTCCTGAGCAAACAAATTAAAGGACGAACTACTAGATATACAATATTATCAAAAAGGTGTCCCACCTTGTTCTACTGCTAGAAACCCTAGCTAGTATATCAACCACACGCAATTATTTATAATATTATCATAAGTCAAGTGTTTTATTTAAGTTAATGTGATTAATTACATGTTTCGAGTCGATTGAAATTTCCAATTCAGTAAGATTACTTTCCATTTGGAGGGAATTCAACTTACCGATAACTTGACAATTTATGGGAGTTGATGGATTATCCACATTCTCCATCTCCAGGTTTACAGAGCTATCTGGCCATGCACGTTGTTCGCTTAACATGGAAAAGATTGTGCAAGAGAAATCATACAAAAATGTTCGAATCTTCGAATATGTTCTAAAGCAAGGGTGCAGCAGCTGCACAAAAATCGTCGTTTCATATATGGAATGACGTGGCATTTTTCTCTTACTTGCTGCAATTGCTTTAGTGCAAGATGCAAGGAAAGGATAGTCGGTGCACAAAGAGAAGGACATGATAGAAATCATCTGGTGACTTCATAGTTCCAAAGAAGCTCCAAGAAGCATCAATGAGATCCTTGAAGCAATTCTTAAATAGCAAGCAGTACCTCTCGATGCAACCTCACACAAAGCAATAAAAATGATATCGAAGAAAATGAAATACATATATGTTACTATAGTGTTTTCTTCTTTTCTTAGAAAATATTCGAAACGGTCTGGTTAAGAAGCTAACTCTATTATCAACGAAATAAGGAAAGGGACGACAATTTCGCACCAAATATTCCATAATGGTTAAAAAGAGTGCCCTTCACCCTTCTTCATTACATTAGTGACATAAGTCATTGACCTCCTCACCTATTATTGCATTTTTTATGTATCTATTCTCTCACGATTAAATTTATATAGATATTTCTCCAGTATTTCACATACACCACACAAATGGATATATTTTCCAATCAATTTTGATATTATTCTTTTGGTTATTTCCCACATTACAATTTCTTATAATGTCTTTTTTCATTCATGCTTTTTTTTCTTAGACGAAAGTGCATTAATTAGAGTGCAATAGAATAACTAGGTATATTTTCTTCTTGTTATCATTCTAACATTATCCAAATTTCAAGCAATTTTTATCATATGCTCTCAAGTTTCTCTAAAATCATTCTTGTTGGTTTAGTTTATTCTTGCGAGGAGAATGAAAATATGATAAAATCATAATTGTATGTATTTTTTGTTTTACTTGTACGTATTTTAAATTAACAAAAATAAATGTTTAAATATAATTAAAACCGACTATGTTTTAATTAAATCACCCAAAAAAAACGCATTGATTCTCATGAGATAGCAATATGTTTGTTATATAACCTATTATAGTAGATAATTCAAAATTAATCATTGAGATATTATTTTATCTTAAGAGTTGTAAATGATAATGTACATCTTAGGAGTTCAAAAATTCAACTTGATCTTAACTTTGTACTTGTATACAACTATAAATTACATTGAACTTGAAGCAAAATGATGTACATTTTTATCTCGAGGTCGAAAATTAATAATTCAAATTTGGATGCGAAAATTTTCAAAAAAGGTTGAGTGAGCTAGGAGGAATTTCATATCATATCCTCGTGATGAAAGTATTTGTATCAGATTTAAATTTATACACTGGCAACATAGAATAAATTTTACACTAGTAATGTACGTAGTTTAACATCTATAATATATAGCATGTTCATCATCATTTTTATGTGGTCACCTATTAATGTTTATCATAAAGATTTATCTGTAATTACCTAATAATTGATCAATCTTTTTCATACCGTCAGTGCATAAAATTCAAACCTGATATTCTCCAAAAATTAAATATGGTTATTAATTAGTTAATTACCTTTTACTAAAGGATTAATGTTAATTTCTCTTAATGTGTTTACAGATTCATGTTCTAACAAGGGAAATGGTGCATACTGGAATGTTATTGCTAAAATATCTACCAATATCTTTGGTGGATACTCTGATTGCAAGGTGTGCTAAGTTTAGATTTGGAAATTTGGCTAAATTAGGAATACCTCAACCAGAAGAAGGCCCATTTTATATCAAAATATCAAAAGGTAGATCTCCAGTAATTGATGTTGGTGCTATTGACAAGATTAAACTTGGAGAGATTAAGGTAAGAGTACCAAATTTTTCATTCTATTTTGTAAAAATATCATGTGAAAAATACATGGCTTGCAAATGATTTGCCCACGCGCAGAGTATTGGTCTAGTGGTAAGCGCGCAACTCGTGATGTGTTGATTAGGCAAACATCATGTGTTCAAACTCTGCTCTAGGCAAAAGTCCGTTATTAATAAAGACGGAGCCAGGATTTGAAACTTATGAGTTCAAGCTTCCAATCTTTTAAATTACTGAGTTTTGAATTCATAGTTTATATATATTCAATGAATTTCTTAAGGCAAATACATAGTTTGAACCAAATTTACCGGGTTCGACCGAACCCTTAGCTTCTACTCTCCCTCTGCCCCTAGGTATTAAAGTGAAGAAGAATAGAGGAACAGGTCCATTATCCAACGAGTTTTGAATTGTGTGCCGCTAGTCGGTTAAAAAAAAAAGGCTTGATTTGCCTTTTGAAACCATGAAGCTTACCATTAGCAAACTATAGTTTAGGATTTAACTTACAATACTATAGTGTGTGAGTAATTTTTATACTGTAAGTAAAATTTAGCATTTTGTAATTGTGATTATCTTTTAGGTGATTTGACAGTGTAAAATTCTTTTACTATTGATATATAGAAGTTGAATTCTTTTAGTTTATTGATTTAATTTGATATTTTTTTGTGAAAACACCTGATTGGCATGCTGGTTTTGGTGAATGTTTAGGTACTTCCTGGAATATCAAAAATAAAGGAACAAACAGTAGTTTTTGACAATGGGGAAGAACACCAATTTGATGCAATAATTTTTGCTACTGGATATAAGAATGCAGCTACCAAATGGCTAAAGGTACGTGTTATAAATTGTCGAGACAATTATTAAAATTTACCCACAGAAAAAATAGTTGTTAAATAAGTTTTGTTCTTTGTCTTAATTGTTCTATGGTTTTTCTGTATGTTTGAGTCTTGAAATTGTTCCACTTGCCTAATAGAGACTACTCCTAAATGGAATTTTTTTATTTTGGTTTTTCTGTACTCGTATCCGTATTGGGGTCCAACTAAATTCAATTTCGTACTGAAAAATCTCACATGGATTTAATTTATAACTGTTGTTTGTATACACTATATTATTATTGCATATATTAACATGTTGTAACAAGTAACTTGCCTTATTTTTCAGGTTACTTTGGGTAGCTACCTGTAGTTATCTTTTAAGTAATTTCATAGTGTAAAAATTCTTTTACGTTGTCAGTGTCAGAAATTAAACTTATCTTAAATGCTTGTTCTACTTTTTTCTAAATTTTTACTTCACATAATATTTTGATGCTCTTCTACTTAATTTGAAAGAAATTCGACTCTTACCTTAGTAGATGTATGGTGTAAGAGTAAGTTTTCTAAATACAGATTATTAAACATGTTTAATTTAGAGGAAACAAGAATATGTGCGTGTTCACTTAATGCATTTTTCTCATTCACATAATTATTTTATATATTTAACTCGTATCTACATAAATGAAACTTTAGACATCAGTATAATTTAACTTATTGTAAAAAATTATCACCTAATTTTTCAACTTATAATTTCACTTATTATAAGTAATTATGACTTTAACTTACATTGTCATTGTATAGAAGTTAAACCGTATTTTTATTTTATTTTTTTCTTCTAAAATTTGTGAAATATTCTTTGCAGGATTATAGCTCCATTTTCCTTGATGATGGAACTTTGATAAATGAATTTCCAAACCATTGGAAAGGAGAGAATGGGCTTTATTGTGCAGGTTTTTCAAAAAGAGGGCTATTTGGCATATCAATGGATGCTAAATCTATAGTAGAAAATATAAACATTGTTAGAGTAGAGAAAATCTAGACTCTTTTTATTGTTATGTCAAAATGCCAAACTATGTTGGTGATTATTTACTTAACAGCTAGAAACTTAAAACCTTGTTTGTTTTAATCTGTTTTTGTTGGATTTTAGCTTCTATAATAAAATAAATGCGATGGAATTATCTGATTGATTGTTTTTGTCTATCGATTTCCTTGTTTTTATAATGGTAGAATCTGGGCCAGCTTGCAGACATCTTTACCTGCTACCTCCTACTAAGTATCTGAGTAACTCTAGCCACCAAGCTGACATAGAAGGATGGAAAGAAATCATCTAAGGATTACATCATAGTTGTTGTTACACTTGCATTCCTTGATGCTCCTTAGGTACATAGAATTAATGTACATTGAGCAGTTAAATACTCCATTTTGTTAGGTCATTGCCTGTACAAAAATGTCCTAACAAAACCGGTACAAAACAAGAGGATAACAAGGGGGTCCTAGCTCATACAAGATACTCCTAAGTCCTAGCAAGAATGTAAAAGTTGATGGGCAGATGATTCAACTACATACGCGCAAAATACTTCTGGCGTATGAACGAGGACAAATCAAAGAAGTTGGTATGAATGATAACCAGGCAAAGCTAGCTAGCTATTCAACCAACCAGAAGCCAAAGCCGTCGAATCAAATGGTTCATCGTCTTCCTCCCCAACCTCGTGTCTGCGTGTTTGACAACTTAGCCTTAGGTGCACACTTATTGTTCTTTCTTGCGAACCAATGTTTAGTGTCTGATTTTATCAACCATTGAGCAGAAGAAGTTCCTCCTGTGGTTTCTTCTAATGTTTTTCTTTTTGTCCAGAGAGAGTCAGGTGTTACACCGTCCTCCTTTGACCGTCCCCAACTCACTGAAGGTAATCTTTCCCAACCTTCACTAGACCATTTCCTCTTGGTTGTGGTAGGTTTAGAAGCGAATCCTTCCCAACCCTCAGCAGACCATTTCCTCTTGGTCGTGATAGGTTTAGAAGCTAATCCTTCCCAATCTTCGCTAGACCATTTCTTCTTGGCCGTGATAGGTTTAGAAGCTAATCCTTCCCAACCTTCGGTAGACCATTTCCTCTTGGTCGTGATAGGTTTAGAAGCTAATCCTTCCCAACCTTCGGTAGACCATTTCTTTTTGGCTGTGATAGGTTCAGAAGGTAATTCTTTCCAACCTTCGCTAGACCATTTCTTTTTGGCCGTGATAGGTTTAGAAGCTAATCCTTCCCAACCTTCGGTAGACCATTTCCTTTTAGTCGTGATAGTTTCTGAAGGTATAGCCTCCTGACTTTCTTTCTGGCCTTCTGTACTTTGATCCTCCTTATTCTTGATATCTCTACAAGGAATTGTGATGCTATTTCCATTTTCTTCAATGTTACTTGTCTGAGAATCCACTTGAAAGGGAGCAGCAGCATGGCGGAATAATTGATATCTTAATGCTGGTAGTTCGACGAGGCCATCCATATAAGCAGAGATGTATTCGCTTGTACGCTGGATACACTTGTATATCTGCTTTACTTCTCCTTTCCCAACAGCCCTTGCGACATTTTGAGATTGATCCGTGAAATCCTCAACCTGTGAAGATCAATATCAGACATTAATTCAGCGCCTCAAAGATAGCTAAGCAGAAAGGAATTGAATAAGCGAAAAATAACTACACTGATGCAGCAAACTTTAGAATCCCATGTTTTAGATAGCCAAGATGCTTCATAGGTGCTTGCACATAGTCCTTTGTCCCATAGTTTCTCGACCGACAATAACTGCAATGAAATGAAACAATACTTAGCACACTTCAAGATATGGCCAGAGTTACTAAAATTCACTATACCTTGATTATTAAAGTAACTAGCAGCTCAGCCACCGACTCTTTGTTGCTCTTCCCATAGTTCACAAACTTATTCAACGACTTTTCCACTGAATCAGGATCAGAGCCATCTACAACATTCCCAAGCCAAGAAATAATACCAAGCTACTCAAAACCAAAAATCTCATGAAAAAAAAAATTAGCGGATTTAGAAGCATCATTTAGAATCTACTTGAGTAAAATATCTCAACAATGTTTTTCTTGAAATTTAGAATCTAGTCTATTGATATGGTTTAAATTCCTCACTATCTATAGCAGACTGAAAAGATATAAGGATTTCCTATTTGACCCTCATTCTTGGGAATTTTGCTTTGGGAATTCTGTTTTACTAATACAGTACTTCACTGCACTGTGTACCGAATACCGATACTGAAATTAGTAAATACCTGTCAAGAGGCGTTTGAAAAATGAACAAGTAAAGATTCATAGCATTACCTTTTAATATGGCAGAAAATGGCGGTAGTATTGGAGGATTTCGTGTCTGCAAAGTTCATTCATTAGATGGAGAAGTTCATATGAGCCCAAATGAGAAAAACAGCAGATTCTTAACTAAACAACTACATGACTAGCACTCTAGGAAGGAACGAGATATCTACACATACTTTTCAGCACACATAAAGTTCCTTTCAGAAAAAGCAAAACAAACAAAAAGGCAAGGCTTTCAAAATATATGTCCTCCTCGAATTTAAATCAAAAGGCAGAATTCGTAAATAGGCAGCAGAAACATTAAAGTTATTCTGAATAAGCATGAGGAAAAGAAATTGAGAAGAAGTTAAATAAGCTATTGGCTTCCTATATAAGTATAGACTTTTACATTTTTCTTTTTCTATAAATTGACAAATACAAGGGTAAAATCCAGTAATAATGAAGTTTACAAGAGCAATATCACTTGTACAAGAGGGTGCCCAAATTTGGCGTTCAAAGCACATTTTTAAATTTGGGAATTTTATTGTGCTTAGAGTTGCTTTCATATAAGGTATTGTATCCCATAGCATTGGAAATTTCTAAAATGAAGGTCCCTATTGGATTACAGGAAGCTAAATGCAACATAATCATGAAAGAGCATTGAATAAGTTGAAAAACCACAGCAGACTAGAATCAAATAATATGATTTCACCGTAGAGTAAACTGTGTATGGTTATGTAAACTATTAGTTCACCAGTAGCTCCTAGGCTCAGACTGATTAACCACAGTGACAAAACATTCAACTTAAGGCAAAATTCATATTGACTCAAAGTAATCTGCACGCGAATTCCTCAATATGCAACCAAGAAACAAAGAGTAAGATAGCAACAGAGAAACAATTTGTACTTGGCTCATACCTGTAAATGAAAAGCAACCAAAAGTATTATAGATAATGAGTTTAAAGTTTTGTCTCTTGAGCTATTAATATTCTGAGCTTTTGCCCAAGCTTTCATCTGCAAAAACAAGAGATCATATCTTCTGAGGACGTAAATACAATGATGCAAACTAAAGATATCTGTCAGCATATACATAAGTTGACCCCTGTATCTTCTTCTATGAACAAGAACTGACGAGCAATTTTTATAAGAGAAAGGAAACCAATATAGCAACAAGAACCGATGAGCATTTGGACCACTAGACCATGGTTCCAGAGGGGAGGGGTATATTATCAGAACGTAAACCCAAAAATGTATATAATAGTCCTTTTACAAACCACAACTTTGATTTCCATCTTTCTTCTTTTTGTACCTTTCGTGTTCANATGGTTCCAGAGGGGGGGGGGGTATATTATCAGAACGTAAACCCAAAAATATATATTATAGTCTTTTACAAACCACAACTTTGATTTCCATCTTTCTTCTTTTTGTACCTTTCGAGTTTATTCTAAGTAAAATTCATCCCATGTGCTACGGAAGTCACATGGCCTTTCTAATGTTTATATTTACCACTACCAATCCATATATTTTCAGAAAATTATTTATCTCAGAAGTAGGAGTTAGAGAAAGTGATATAATGAATCTCCTATTTCATTTAAGTACTAACACATAATGCTGTATTCTGGGCAGGGCCCGGGCCTAAATGGGCCAAACGGGCCGGGCTTAGCGGGCCTGGGCTCGGGCGGTCCCGGGCCTCACGGTCCCGGGCTTCGTGGGCTCAACGGGTGGAACCAGCCCGTGACGGGCCTAAGCCCATATGGTCCTGGGCTAAACGGGCCGGGCTCGTGGGCTTAGCGGGCCTAACGGACTTTTTTTTTTAATTTTTTTTGTTTAAGGCAATTTCTTGTAAACCATATCATGGCTATATAAAAAATATATATGTAATATATATGTAGAAATCTAATTATTAAAGTGCTTGACGAAAAAGTAAAATAACAAAACAATAGTAAAACTAAATTGTCATACATAATAAATTAATAAGAAAGTACAACATGAAGCATAAATACGTCTAATAATTTTAAAATAACACAAATTGTTGAAAAATCTTAAAGACGAATTTGCGGATAAATACCATCAACACAATACGTTATATGTCTCCTTAAAATGCCTGTGGTACACCCTGAACGAAAATTTAAGACTCTTCCACAGTTCTTGCACTTTAATATTTGGCTTTCTTCATTTTCTTCAAGCACTTCATAGTAGTGCGAAACAAGTAAGCGCACTCTTTCCGAACGAAGCATGATGTAACTTGAAAATTAAGATTGAGACATGAAGTCTTGAAAATTGGAAATTGAGAGATTGAGAGAAATTTAGATTGAGAAATGAGTATTGAAATGAAGAAGAGGGAGGGGGTATTTATAGTGTTAGAGAAGGTTAGTTTTGTAAATTGAAAAAAAACGGCTATTTGTGCAATATGGCCGTTGGTGGTCATTGGGGGTGGGCCCTCATTTTGAAAAATCTTGTTTTGTAGTATATATAGTATACTAGTATAGTATATATAATATATATATATAGTATACTAGTATATGGTAAGCTTATAGGAGTTTGTACACAAGAAGGATTGAAATTGTGTAATGAGCTAAGGCTTTCTAGACAGCTTAAGATTGATAAGCTTAAAGAGAAATCCCAATTAGGTGACTTCTGTACTCAGTTCGGTTTACCCGGAACTTCCACTCAAAGTAGGAAGAAGAAAAACAGATATCATAGGTATCCTTACCCGGATAGCCCGTATAAGAAAAAGAGGTCTAGATATAGGCCTAAGGAAGAACGTGATACTAGAAAAGCGCATCGGAAATCTACTCGATTTGCGAAGAATAGATCTAAACGAGATCTCGCTGATATTAAGTGTTACAAGTGTGGAAAGTTTGGTCATATTTCTCCAAATTGCAAGCTTCAAAAACTAAAAACCTTAGAACTCGATGATGAGTTACACGATAAGGTTTATGGCTTGTTATACACTTCAGGATCAGAATCTGACTATTACTCGGAGACTGAATCTGAAGATGAAGTTGAGTTAATTGATTTTTCTGATAATAATAAAAATGCTGATACTTCCTGCACTACTAACAAAGGTGATATTTGTACTTGTGATAGTGACGAATTTTATAAATTGCAATCACAATTTGATAATCTAAATATAAAAACTATTACATCTGATAATGTAATAGAACTTTTAAAAGAAGTTACTGATGAAAAACTTCGTGAAAAAATTATTAATTTAGCCGCAAGTTCTAGTTCTAGTAGTTCAAAATCTGTTGAAAAATACAAGAACGAATTTGAACATTTTGCACCTTATTCTTTATCTGAAATTAATAGACGACTTCAAAAGTCCAGTACACCTAGTAGAGATACTTCTTTTGATGATTTAAAAGAAGAAATTGAGAATTTGAAAAGGGATATTAAGTCTCTTAAGCAAAATCAAATGATTTGCGATCACCGAATTACTCAAATTGAGAAAAATAATTCTCTACTTGAATTTTCGACTAAAGAAATTTCTGAATTTTCTAATGATAAAGGAAAAGAAATTTCTGATCTAACTGAAGAAAAATCTGATTTGTTTTTAGGTATGATGCAAATTATTACTGCACATAAATGATATATTAAATGTACTATTTTGATCGATAATAACTTTTCTATAACTGATATAGCTATGATTGATAGTGGTGCAGATGTAAGCTGCATTCAGGAAGGATTAATTCCAACTAAATATTTTCAAAAGACCACTCATTTGGTTAAATCCGCTTCTGGTCATGCTTTAGATATAGAGTACAAACTGCCAAATACTCATATTTGCCAAAATAGAGTCTGTATTCCTCATTTCTTCTTTTTGGTAAAAAACCAGTTATACCCTCCAATTATACTTGGAACCTCTTTTATTAATGTTATTTATCCGTTCAATAATACAGATGAACATGGGTTTTCTGCTACTTATCAAGATAAAAAGATAAGTTATTCTTTTGTTACAGATCCCGTAACTAGAGATATTAATGTCTTGATTAATATGAAACAAAGGCATGTTGATTCATTACAATTAGATATTCTTAGCATGAATATATTCGATACTTTACAGTCTGCTAAAGTTAAGCAAAAGATTAAATTGATTGCTGAAAAGATGGTTGTTGATGTTTGCACCGATCACCCTAGTGCCTTTTGGAACCGGAAAAGGCATATTGTAACTCTTCCTTACGAAGAAAACTTCTCTGAGGATGATATTCCTACTAAATCTCGACCTTGCCAGATGAATGCTGAACTAGTTGAATTCTGCAAAAACGAGATTGATAGTTTGTTACAAAAGGGTTTGATAAAACCCTCAAAATCTCCTTGGTCATGTTCTGCCTTTTATGTTAATAATGCGGCAGAAAAGGAACGAGGTATTCCTCGCTTAGTTATAAATTATAAACCATTAAATAAACATCTAAAATGGATTAGGTATCCTATCCCTAATAAAAGGGACTTGCTATCTAGGTTATATGACGCCAATATATTTTCAAAATTTGATTTAAAATCTGGTTATTGGCAAATTCAAATATTTAAAGAGCATACTTATAGAACTGCTTTCAATGTTCCATTTGGGCAATATGAATGGAATGTTATGCCATTTGGTTTAAAAAATGCCCCTTCTGAATTTCAAAAAATTATGAATGATATTTTTAACCCTTATTTAGATTTTGTCATCGTTTATATTGACGACATATTAGTATTTTCTAAAACTTTGGAGATGCATATTAAGCATCTTGATATTTTCAAGAAAATTGTTATACAAAACGGTTTAGTAATTTCTAAACCAAAGATGAGTCTATTCCAAACGAATGTTCGTTTTTTAGGTCATAATATTTGCCAGGGAAAAATTACCCTTATACAAAGATCAATTGATTTTGCCTCGAAATTTCCTGATGTTATTACTGACAGGACTCAATTACAAAGATTTTTGGGAAGTTTGAATTATATATCCCCTTTCTATAAAGGTTTATCACGAGATCTAGCTCCTCTATACGATAGGCTGAAAAAGAATCATAGACAGCCTTGGACTGACCAACATACTGAGTTAGTCAAAAGTATTAAACAGCGTGTTAAATCTCTACCTTGTTTAACCCTTGCTAATCCTACTTGGCAAAAGGTTATCGAGACAGATGCGTCTAATGTTGGCTATGGAGGGATTTTAAAACAAGTGAATCCCAACAATAAGAGTGAATACCTAATAAGATTTCACTCTGGTAAATGGACCGAAGCCCAGAAGAAATATGCTACTGTGGCACATGAAATGTTAACAATTGTTAAATGTGTTTTAAAATTTCAAGACTTGTATAACCAAAAGTTTTTGATAAAAACTGATGCTCAATCTGTTAAATATATGTTTGACAAAGATTTTAAGCACGATGCTTCTAAATTAATATTTGCTAGCTGGCAGGCTCAGCTGGCGCCTTTCGATTTTGAAATACAATACAAAAAAGGAATTGATAATTCTCTTCCGGATTTTCTATCCCGGGAATATTTAGAATAAATTATGAATTATTATACCATGTTATTTGATGATAAGGTGTTGATCGCTATTCTTAAAGTGATTAATTTAAACAGAAACTTAAAGGAACTCTATACTTGATAAAATTATGACTGACATTATTAATAAAATTGAAGATGAATGCTCTAATTTTAATGAAGTTACTGATATTCTTCAGTTAATTGAAAGTGAATTCCCCAGCCAAGATTATATCGGCGATAGAATTATGATGTCTTTTTTAATTACTAATGACTTGCTATTTATGCAGAATGGACCCTTCATGGGCCACCAGGGGCAGAGGTAGGGGAAGATCTTCCCCTAGTAAGACTTACTCTCAAGGATCGTCATACGGATCCTCATCAAATTCTCCAGTAATACAAAGAGGAAAAAGGAGTTTGATAAACTCAAAAGTACCTCATACAGGTGAATCATCAGGACATTCTATACATCTGGAAGATATTCCAGAAGATAGTCCTTTATATGGACATCTGCAAGCTTATTTGGCATCCAAAAAGCAAAGT